TGCAGAGGCTTGGGGGAGTCGAGTTAATGGAGGAGCTGAGGGAGAGGGAAGTAATTGTTGGGAAGGAGCCTGGGAGTGAACTGTGGAGGGTTGTTGGGTGTGGGTGGGAGAAGTATGGAACAGGTTTTTTTTGGAGTGGGGGAGGGATTGTTAGGGAGTTGGGGAGCTCCATGGGAGACCATGGCTGACCCCTAACCTCTCCCATTCAGTCAGGCACATCTGCCCATGTCCCCATGTGGCCCAGCATCCCCACTCAGCCACCCCCATTGCCCCCCATCCCCATGTGTCCCTGCACTCCCTCTTCCCCCTGTCCCTATGTGGCCCTGCACCCCCACGCCCATTCAGTCCCTGGCACAATGCTGTCACCCCACTAGCTTCTGTGCCCTTGTCCCAGTCTGTCCCCTGCACTAGCCCTTCTGAACCCCAGTCTATGTGACCCTCCCAGCAGCCTATTTTGCCCCACTCTGTCCATCCCCCCATATCCCGTGCCTCCTCACCTGGCCCCATGGGCAGAGCGCTGTGAGGAAGGGAGCCTCTTCCCCTCCCTCTCTGCGGCTGCCCTCTCTTCTGGAGCCACATCAGCCCCTGGTGCAAAAGGTGTAATTGCAGCATGACCCCTCTTGCAGCTTCCCTTTGCCTCCCTGTCAGAATCAATTATTCTGTGGGGGCATCAATTGTGCACTTGCGCAGTGGTGCAGAATTCTCCCAGGACTAACGTTTTGGTATTCTTGAGTCCTGGACTTTCCTCAGTTTCAGTAACCAACCCACTCTTCCTCTTTCACATTATCCCAGTCTATAATCCTGCTAGCCATTGCTGATTATGACACTGTGATGATAATGGTGTATTTTCCTTAAGCTGATGAAAGAGACAAAATTATTTATATAACCAAGTAGAAAATATCAGAAAATTTCTGTTTATTGTAAAGATCATCATCATCAGGTTCCTATTACGCCTCTGGCGTTGAGGGCAGTGACGAAGCTCCTCCACTCCTGTCTGTTTCTGGCAGGTCTTTCAATGGTTCCCCAGCTATGCCCCAGGTTTTTCAGCTCAGCTTCCACAGCTCTTCGCCATGTTGTTTTCAGGGGCCTCGTTTTCGCTTGCCTTCAGGTGTCCATCTTATTGCTACTCTAGTGATGGAGTCAGTTTCCATCCGAAGAACATGACCGATCCATCTCCAGCACCTCCTGGCATTGATGGTGCTCAGATCCTCTTGGTTGCACTGTGTCAATAGATCTTGGTTTGAGATTGTAAAGATAAGGTTGGGAAATCTTGTTTAAATATACCTGTTAAAAGATTCCCATGTCAGCCAAACCCAAAGAGAGAGGCTTATAATTCAAACCTTTTAAATTAATCCTTTGGAAAAGAAGGAAGCATGTTGAAAGAATAAATGCCCGAGGTACCAAAAGATAAAATTATAATGAAGACACATAAGATGAATGCACTGAAAGTGAATGAAACCAAAGTCTATTATACTGAACAATGAAGGTGTGGAAAGGGTTATTATATAGGAGAAAAGGAGATGGTGTTCCAGATTCACAAGAGTAAAAAATGGGAGCTGGATACCAAAAGGAAAGAAATCATCTCAGGCCACAGCCAGACTCTGTTAAAAATCAGTAGAATAGCATCCACTGGGCCTGGTCTGAGTTTGGCCCCTTGGTTTCTTTTCAGTGGGGTGGTAGCGTTTGCTAGAGTAAACCTTGGGGAAGACCACGGTGTAATGGTTACAGTGCCATAAGAAAAGCTCAAGATTTGTTTGGTAACAAGTAAAATTAGCTTTGAAGCCCCTGGCTTTTGACTATAGGGCCAAACCCCTCCCTCACATGTGTACATGCAATGTCCATTATCTCCGTGGGAGATGTGAGAATATATAGAATTCGGCCCATAATTTTTGTTGGGGAGCATCATGACCCTCTTATATACTGAGCTACTGTCTCTCCCCTCTCCCACATGCTTCTCCTTGTAGGCTATGACTCTTGTAAGTTTTTAATTTTTGGTCCAAAGTCCTTGGGCCCGATTCACTACTTTTTACTTCTGTTTTATACCTGTGTAACTCCATTGAAGTCAATGAAGTAAAAACACCAGTGTAAAACTGGAGTAGCTCAGTGATGAATCAAGCCCTTTATGTTTCGGGAGAGCTTTGCATTCACCTCTCTCCTTTTAGACCCTTATCCAGCAAAGTGCTTAAGCATGCACTTAACTTTAAGCATGTGAGTAGTCCCACTGAAATCAATGGGACTAACTCACATGATTAAAGTTAAGCATGTGCTTACTTGCTTTATTAGATCAGGGCCCTAAAGCTTGCCCCATACTATCTGGACCGTATCACCTTAGGAAGTATTGTCCTCATTTTACAGATGTGGAACTGAGGCACAGAGTAGATGAAGTGATTTGTCCAAGCTCACATATTGAAAGCAGGTCTCCTGAGCTTCAGTCCAGTGCCCTAGCTACTAGGTCATCCTTCCTGTCCTTTTTGATACAGAGCCATGCGCCCCCATAGTGAGTCCACCCCTTTGGACCTTTTGGTCCCTGCAGTGTTGTCACTGCTCCCAAATGACACCCTCCTTTACAAACCTTAGGGCTCACCTCCTAAGACTCCACATAAGGTTTTTGCAGCTGTTCAGCAGAATAATGTCTCATGCCAAAAACTTCCAAATGTCAAAATCATGGCCATTTTATTAGCAACATGAAAATCATGGAGTCTGACACTCTTGACAGCTGTGAGAAATATTACAGCCACAGCAATCATGGTTTTTTCCCCTTTCATACTTTAAATTCTGTTCTGTGTGAGTGGCTGCTCCACTCCCACAAATGTTCTTGAGTTACTGTTGCCTGTATTCTAAGGTGATAAGATCACAGTATTTGGGGTCAGTAATGAATTTCCCCCACGTATATTGGCAGGGAGCTGGTGTCTTGAGGAAGGAACCTCTTTTAGGGTCAGGTGTGCATATCCCACATGTCCAGCTTTCTGCCACTGCAGAGGCCTCGGGCAGTGGAAAATCTCAGTTCTAGCCAACTAATTTCTACAGCCTCAGTTCTGGAACCCATAATTTGAGTGTTACTGATTTGCACTAGTAGTACTATTGAATTTCCTGGGACTAGTCATGGGAACAAAAATTACTCTGGGTAATGCTTGCAGAATCAAAGTCCTTTGTACATTTCACTCTTCTTGAAAACGCACAGCCTAGCTTTATGGTATAACATGCTTTGCCTTCCTGTCCCCAAGCACTCTGCGGCTGAATCACCAAGAACACAGGAGTGCAAAAACAAGGTACAGTTAGCTCATTGCAACAACCACTGCTTACCTGCCTTTGTGTTTTTCCTTCTCTCCTGGAAGAAAAACCTACTGTGCCTGCCATGTCCTTGTTTACACTGTCATGCGCAGTCACTCTTAAGGACATCTTAAGCTGTTGCATACTTCTTGGCTTCTCTTTGGGTTGATCTTTGGCAATTGTTGAACTGCTTATTTTTAACTTGAGGATTAAGCACTAAGCATTATACAACATCCACCGCAGTCATATCAAGTGACCACGGGGAAATGCAAAACCATGTTAAATTTTCTGTACAACAGTTTGATTCTTGACAATAGTCTGCGTATAATAACATCATCTGCCATCATTGCTTCATAATGCATTTCTAAGCAAATGTTTTATTGTACTAATGGTTTTCCAGTATTCTAAACAAGGGAGAAGCAAATGATTTGGATCAGTTTAACAAGGGCTAGATTGCTAGCAGGCAGCTTCTCACAAGCTGCTTTTGAAACATTTTGGGATTTCTTTAAAAGACTAAACAATCACTGTAATGGTAGGAATATATTTGTCTACTTCTAATTAATCATAGACACTGACTAGTAAAATGAAAAGATAAAAATTGACCATTTTGTATAAATTCTATGCCTGACCTACCTTTGCACTATGGTGCTTCAGACCTCACAAATGAAGCAAGGTTGAGACTGCTCAGCACTTGGAAAGGAGACCTCCTGAGAATACTGCAGGAAGTGGTGTTGGGGACTCAGTAACTGGTGCAGTTCCCTCTGAGCCAGGTCTGACTGAATGCATCCATCTCCTGCAAGGGGACTACAGCTGCCTTCTTCTGGATGAGACATAAACCAAAAGTCCTGGCCACTTGTGGTGGTTAAAGCTCCCACGGTTCTTTTGATAAGACTAGGAGCACTAGCCCTGGAATCCTGGCCAAATTCTAGTGGAGGTAAATTCCATGCTGGTGATTATGAGTGTTTATTATTAAATCTCACCCGGCAGATTCAGTTCCACCCTGTTCTCTTCACTTCCTGTCCTAAACTATGGTGCCAAATTGCTGTGCTTTGTTAGGGCACCCAAGAGATGGTCGCACTTCATTGTTGGTGGAAAAGATCAGTCTTTACCTTGTGTATTGCACAGGGTACTGTGAGCTTGAATTAGTCTGTAAAGTGCTTTGTGATTCTGAGCTGAAAGGGGCTGTAGAAGTGCAAAGTATAATGAAAACTGCTGCTCGCTGCATAGGTTAAACTATAAACAGCTAACAGCTGGAATCCTTCATAATTTAAATGAATACATTAATTCCATAAAGGAGATCAGTCTGTCTTACTACAGCCCCAGTTCTGCCCTTGGATGTTTGCCCACTGATTTCAATAGGAGCCGTGCACATGTGTCTGAGGACAGAATTTGGCCCTTAAAGTGTGAGCTGTTGTGGAGACTCAATTAATGTGGGCAAGCCCCCTTTAGTGACTGTTTCTAATTGGGTTCTTTTGTCATTCATGAAAGGCTGGAATTTTTTCCACTCCACAACTAGCCCCATAAATATATGAAGTGTTCTTATTTATGTAGCTTACTACACAGATCTGTGGAATTGTAATAACAGAGCGCAGGTCACTGCTGCAGAACAAAACTATAATTGTATGTCATTTAAAAACCAAGGATATTAGATAGTTTTCTAAGGGCTCAGACATTTTTATCCCCTTTGTGGCTGTTAGGAGAACATGATCTTTCTTTTTTTCTCTTCCCAGCTGTCCCTATCTGCAGATCTTGGCTCTAGCCCAAAAGGACCAGTTCGCCCACGTTGGGCTACTCACCAATCAACAGGGTACCCTGTTACCAAAGCAACAGCTAAGATCCTAGCTCAGAGTGCCCAGTGGAATGCTGGGATACGACCAGCCCCCGTTCGAGCTCCAGTACCAAAGCTGAGTGAAAGAGGGAAGAAGGCCTTTGCAAGGATGAGCAGAAGTTCTCCAGGTTAGTAAGCTGTCGTAGAGACTACAGCTCTTTAAACTTGGAGTTGGGGAGCCACTGTCATTATGTTCCCTCATGCCACGGAAGCACCAGTCATTTTAGATGGTGTGAACCAAACTGACTGTAATTTACCAGCCCTAAAATGTGACACAAAGACTCACACGTAGCAGTTTCCTGTGGCATCTGTCTCTCATGACCGTCACAGTACCTAAGGGCCAGTCTACGCTACAAAAGCTTTGATGGGACAGCCATATCGGTACAGCTATCCCAGCAGAGCTCCTTAATGTAGACGCAGCAAATACGAGTCAAAGGAGTTCTTTTGCTGGTGTTGTTAAAGCACCTCCAAGAACAACATAAACTATACCGGCAAATGGAGTCTTTTGCCAAAATGGGGGTTGGGGTACGTGCCTGCTTGTGTGTATGTGTCCATCCCAGCATCCCCATGTCCGTCAGGGTGTGTTTTTTTCACACTCCTAGTCGATGTAGTATGCCAGCAAAACTTTGTAGTGTAGGCTTGGCCTAAATGCTGGCAAGAGCTTTGTGTGACTTGAACTCCCGGGTGTTCACCTGTAGAGCAGGGAGTTTGTCTCCAATGCGACTACAGATGTTTTAACACCTTGTTACATAGGTGTCTAGGGGCCTGGTGCGGAGCCCATTGATTCTGATGTGCTTTGGACGAGGCCCTGGATGGATGCCTTGGGCTGGGGATTGATAATGCCGGGTTGGAAGAAGGGTCCCCTCAAGGAATTAGAGAAGAAAATGCTACTTTTACCACCAGTCCTGGGGAGAGGTTTAGAACCGCTGATAAAAAAAGTCGAATGACATCATCAACAGCAATTTTTGCCATGCCAGCCGAGGGCTAGCTCATGCAGTCCTTACACAGGGCCTTCCCTTGTGACATGCTGAGCGTCATGCAGCGTAACCTCAGCTTCCAGTGAGCACCTTCAAGGAGTCGCTCAGCACCTGGCAGCATCGGGTCCTCGGAACGTAATCAGGCAAAAATCCCGTTGATCCCAGTAGGGGGGTTAATTGATTAACGATTGCAAGATTTGACCCTTACGTTTTTTAAGAGAGTAACCAGTTCAGTGGATATAAACCAGACTGGGCACAGCAGAAGTCATCTGATATAGCGCCATGTAGCATTTTCAAAGAGAAACTGCAGGTGCAGTAAATGGAAGTGGATTGACAGCATTTATTAATGATTCCCCATGGGAGGAGGGTATGGAGTGGAGTCCTGTGGGGATCCCTTCTGAGCTCCATACCATTCAGAGCCTTCTTTTGTGACTAGGAGCCAAGAGCGATGATCTAGAACTTGGTGTGATCATAACTCCCTTGCTTTGTGAGGGGTAGGATTTAAATGCAATCCAATCTTGATACACTGGAGAAGGGGGTGGAATTGAGACAAATGAGAAGTGGGGCACGTAGGAAGGAATATGCAAATGCATCTATATGAACTGGAGGAGGGGCAGTCAGAGGGTTATAGAGGTAGGTATACACAGCATATAAATCAACAATACCGTGCCTATATATAAAATAGGGCCCTATCCAGCGGTGAGGTCACATGGACAGAGCCCCAGTGAGGCTCTGCATTGGTCTGCAGCCCATACATGAGAAGCTCATTGCAGGACCAGGGCCTTCGACTGTATTAATTAATTAGCATATCACACGTCCATCAAGTGTGGTAATTATTCTGCTCCGTTTGGCACCATTCTGGCTCCTGGGGCAATACTGCACTCAGTCTTGAGCACTACAGTTCAAAAAAGGACACAGGAAAATGCGAGTGAAAGCAGAGTTGATTCACACAGAGAAGACTCTTAGAAAATAAGCTGAGAGGAAAGGGGGAGGAGAGGAACTACTGTCTCCAAAAACCTACAGGCATCTTGTAAAGGAGATGGATGAATTATCCTCACTAAACTATAAGGATTTCTCCAGAAATGATAAGCTGTATTAAGTGTAATTTAGGTTGATTGCTGGGCAAAACTACATAACCCCTTATAAAAGAGAGACAGCCAAGGTCTTCTTTACCGTTCACATCTTCAGGGACCTCTTCTGGATCTTCGCAATCCCCTCTGTGCCTTTCTTAAGGTGAGCTGACCAACATTAGACTCAGTTCTCCAGATGAGAGTAGTTTCCCATATTCCCATGACGCTGGAAACGCAGGCAGTAGAATTAGGGATATTTGTAACAGGACCAAATTCTACAAAATGAGGTACTGATTTTGCAGTTTAGAAATAATCTACACATCCATTCAGTGACTAAAACAATCTATAGCAGCTGCTAGTCTCAGGATTTTCTCTTTATCCATTCTAGCATCCCCACTGTTTGAAGATCAGCCCTGGCAAATTCCTCCATCGGACCATGGATCTGATGCAGAGTAAGGGAGTGAAGGTTCAGTGCAATTCATCCCCATCAAACCGGCTCATCTGCCCAGCTTTCAGAAGATGCCGATCACGTCCCCTGAGTTACAGTGAAGAATGGATGTTACTGAATCATGCTCAAAGTCTCAAGGATCCAGCTCCATTTTTTTATGTCACTTGTCACAATAAGAGATTTCCCCTGCACCCCATTGAACTCACTATACAATGTGGAGAACCAGGCATGGAGACCCTGAGGGAGATTTACTAGTATAGCTCTGGGCTAACTGCATTGCAGCCAGTTTATACTGAAGGGTTTTTGGGGCAGGGACTACATTTTACTACGTATACATACAGCACATAGCAGAGTGGGCCCTCACTGGGGTTGGGATCTCCAGGTGCTACCATAATACAAATAAGTCATGTAATACTAGGGTGAGATCAGAATTTGAATCAGTATCTTGTTTGCTATCTTGCCTTTTTTCAATATGTTTTCTTGTCTCTGCTGCTTTGGATGCTGATGCCTCATTCTGCTTTCACTCAGTGTATGTCTTCACTGCAGAGTTAACTTGGGCAATTGGCACCCGGGTTAGTCTAACCCACGTGCAAGCCACCACACGGCAAAGCGTTACTGTCTTACTGTGTCCTCACTGGTGCTGAACTCCCATGTGTGTGTCATTAGGACTTTGGGGGCATATCCCATGGTCCTGTGTGTTGCAGTATGCTGAGCTACGCTGATTCTTTCCCAGTGAATTGTGGGAGAATTTGTCTGTCTTTCTGGGCACAGGGGGGATTGTGGGAGGGCACTGCAGGATTACCAGCACTGGAGTGATTTAGGCCTGGTCTACACTAGGGGAGGGGGTCAATCAAAGTTAGGCAACTTCAGCTACATGAATAACATAGCTGAAATCGACATACTTAGATCTACTTACTGCGGTGTCTTCACTGTGGTAAGTCGACAGCTGACACTCCCCTGTTGACTCCACCTGCGCCTCTCTCTCCGGTGGAGTACCGGAGTCGACGGGAGAGCATTCGGCGGTCGATTTATTGCATAAACTAAACTAGATGCGATAAATCGACCCCCACTTGATCAATTGCTGCCCCTTGATCCAGTGGGTAATGTAGAAAAGCCCTTAGACTGTGTCCTCACTGCAAAGTGAGTGGTTACAGCCTGAGTAAATGTGGAGCCCAGGATCTTACTTATCCCCCAGCTGTGCCTGCTAGCCTGGGTTGAAACTCCCCTGAACTCAGGGGAGAGGTTTGTGCATGGATGGGAAGGTGGGTTAGGGCTAAAAGCCAGGTAAGAGCTCAGGTTAACTCTGCACAGATCCTCTCCAAGGTTTAACTCCATGACTTCAATTGTGTGACTCCTGATTTACACCAGTGTGAGAGCAGAATCAGGCCCCAAACTTTGGCTAAAAGAGTTGCATGAGATTTTCCATGTGGTGCTGATACCAATATGATTGGCACAGAGAAGGTGAATCAGGCACCCGTGCTTACCTTGTTCATGATACAAGAACAAGAGAGAAGTCAGCAAAACTGAAAGGCAGCAAATTTAAGACTGATAACAGGGAATTTGTTTACATAACATGTAATTAACCTGTGGAAGTCTTTGCCACAATATATCATTGAGGACAAGATCTTAGTAGGATTCAAAACAGGATTAGACACAGTAACTTTAGATAGAAAGAAAGTAAAGTCTCATGCTTCATGAAGATGCAGATGCCAGCTACTAAGTGATGAGGGTTTAGAATAAGCTTCCTTTGTGAGCAAGGTTATTCTGTAATTGTCCACAGCAAGATTTATTGTACCTCCCTATGAAACATCTGACACTGGACACTGTCTGAGCCAGGATACCAGACTAGAGGGACCACTTGTCTGGTCCAGCATGGTAATTCCCATGATCTGGTTCTTTGTCTCTAGCTGTGTTTTGTAATGTGCCATGTATATTTCTAACTCCAGATCAGTTAATTAGTAATAACCCAGCTCATCTCCTTTTCCCACTCTTGACTCTGTACCTTCTTTCAGGCTGCTTCCTATACTTGGAAGTATCCTACTTGTCTACCTAAGGCCCACTCGCTCCTTCCTCAAATCCCTCTCTATAAACCTTTTCCCCAGGAAGTCTTCCTATATTGATTGCCTTATTGAGGTTCCAACACTTTCTCTGGCCCAATTTGTTGTCCTGTGTTTATTAAGAACATCTAATGCCCATCTTTAAAAAAGGGAAGGAGGAGGATCTGGGGAACTACAGGCCAGTCAGCCTCACCTCAGTCCCTGGAAAAATCATGGAGCAGCTCCTCAAGGAATCAATTCTGAAGCACTTAAAGGAGAGGAAAGTGATCAGGAACAGTCAGCATGGATTCATAAGGGCAAGTCATGCCTGACTAACCTAATTGCCTTCTGTGACGAGATAACTGGCTCTGTGGATGAGGGAAAAGCAGTAGACGTGTTATTCCTTGACTTTTAGCAAAGCTTTTGATACAGTCTCCCACAGTATTCTTGCCAGCAAGTTAAAGAAGTATGGGCTGGATGAATGGACTATAAGGTGGATAGAAAGCTGGCTAGATCATCGGGCTCAACGGGTAGTGATCAATGGCTCCATGTCTAGTTGGCAGCCGGTATCAAGTGGTGCCCCAAGGGTCGGTCCTGGGGCCGGTTTTGTTCAATATCTTCATTAATGATCTGGAGGATGGCGTGGATTGCAGCCTCAGCAAGTTTGCAGATGACACTAAACTGGGAGGAGTGGTAGATACACTGGAGGGTAGGGATAGGATACAGAGGGACCTAGACAAATTAGAGGATTGGGCCAAAAGAAATCTGATGAGGTTCAACAAGGACAAGTGCAGAGTCCTGCACTTAGGAAGGAAGAATCCCATGCACTGCTACAGACTAAGGACCGAATGGCTAGGCAGCAGTTCTGCAGAAAAGGACCTAGGGGTTACAGTGAACAAGAAGATGGATATGAGTCAACAGTGTGCTCTTGTTGCCAAGAAGGCTAACGGCATTTTGGGATGTATAAGTAGGGGCATTGCCAGCAGATCGAAGGACGTGATCATTCCCCTCTATTCGACATTTGTGAGGCCTCATCTGGAGTACTGTGTCCAGTTTTGGGCCCCACACTACAAGAAGGATGTGGAAAAATTGGAAAGAGTCCAGCGGAGGGCAACAAAAATTATTAGGGGGCTGGAGCACATGACTTATGAGGAGAGGCTGAGGGAACTGGGATTGTTTAGTCTGCGGAAGAGAAGAATGAGGGGGGATTTGATAGCTGCTTTCAACTACCTGAAAGGGAATTCCAAAGAGGATGGATCTAGACTGTTCTCAGTGGTACCAGATGACAGAACGAGGAGTAATGGTCTCAAGTTGCAGTTTGAGAGGTTTAGGTTGGATGTTAGGAAAAACTTTTTCACTAGAAGGTGGTGAAGCACTGGAATGGGTTACCTCGGGAGGTGGTGGAATCTCCTTTCTTAGAGATTTTTAAGGTCAGGCTTGACAAAGCCTTGGCTGGAATGATTTAGTTGGGGATTGGTCCTGCTTTGAGCAGGAGGTTGGACTAGATGACCTCCTGAGGTCCCTTCCAACCCTGATATTTTATGAACATAAGAATGGCCATACAGCGTCAGACCAATGGTCCATCTAGCTCAGTGTCCTGTCTCTGACAATAGCCAGTGCAGAGCTGCAGCGGGAGTGTACAAAACAGGGGCAATTTTGGAGAGATCCACTCCTGTCTTCCCCTCCTGGATTCTGGCAGTAAGCGGTTTAGGGTCACCCCGAGCATGGGGTTACATCCCTGACCATCTTTTCTAATAGCCATTGATGGACCTATCCTCCATGAACTTATCTACATTCTTTTTTGAATCCAGTTATACTTTTGGACATTGAAATATCCCATAGCAATGGGTTCCACAGGTTTATTGTGTGAGGCATGAAAAAGTACTTCTTCCTCTTTGTATTAAACCTGCTGGCTAGTAGTTTCATTGAGTGACCCCTGTTTTTTGATTTGTGGGAAAGGATAACTACTTTTTCCCCATACCATTCATTTTATACACCTCTATCATATTCCCCCTTAATAGTCACTTTTCTAAACTGAATGGCCGTAATCTTTAGTGTGTCCTCCTATGGAAGTCGTTCCATATACTTGGTCATCTTTTTTGCCCTTCTCTGAACTTTTCCGAGTTCTTTTTTGAGGTGGGGCAACCAGAACTGGGCATAGTATTCAAGGTGTGGGTGTCCCATGGATTTATATAGTGGCATTATGATATTTTTGTCTTATTTTCTATCCCTTTCCTAACAGTTCATAACATTGTTGGGCTTTTTGACCACTGCTGCACATTGAGCTGAAGTTTTCAGAGAACTATCCACAATGACTCCAAGATCTTTCTTGAGTGGTAACAGCTAATTTAGACCCCATCATTTTGTATGTAGAGTTGGGATTATTTTTTCCAATGTTCATTACTTTCCACATATCAATGTTGAATTTCATCTGCCATTTTGTTGTCCAGTCACCCAGTATTGTGAGATCCCTTTGTAACTCTTCACAGTCAGCTTTGGACTTAACTCTCTTGAATAATTTTATATCATCTGCAAACTTTGCCACTTCACTATCTACTCCCTTTTCCAGATCATTAATGAATATGTTGAACATCCCAGGTCCAAGTTTAGATCATTGGAGGACTCTACTGTTTACCTCTCTGCAGTGTAAAAACTGACCACTTATTCTCACCCTTTTTCCTGTCTTTTAACCACACACTAATTCATGACAAGACCTTCCCTGGTATCCCATGACGACTTAGTTTCCTTCAGAATTTTTGTTGAGGGATCTTATCAAAGGCTTTCTGAAAGTCCAAGTGTACTATATTGACTGGATCACCCTTATCCACATGCTTGTTGACACCCTCGAAGTATTCTAACAGATTGGTGAGACACGACTTCACAAAAGCCAGGTTGACTCTTCCTTAACAAATTGTGCTCATCAATGTGTCTGATATTCTGTTTTTTACAATAGTTTCAATCAATTTGCCTGGTACTGAAGTTAGGCTTACTGGCCTGTAATTGCCAGGATTGCCTGTGGAGCTGGTTTTTGAAAATCGGCATTACATTAGCTACCTTCCAGTCATCTGCTACAGAGGCTGATTTATGTGATAGGTTACATACCCCAGTTAATAGTTCTGCAATTTCATGTTTGAGTCCCTTCAGAACTCTTCAGTGAATACCATCTGAGCCTGGTGACTTATTACTGTTTAATTTATCAATTTGTTCTAAAACCTCTTCTATTGACCCATCAGTGTGGGACAGCACTTCATGTTTATCACCCAAAAGAAATAGCTCTGATATAGGTATCTTCCCCACATGCTCTGCATTGAAGACAGATGCAAAGAATTCATTTAGCTTCTCTGCAATGGCCTTGTCTTCCTTGAATGCGCCAAGAACGCCATTATCATCTAGTAGCCCCACTGCCTGCTTGGCAGTCTTTTTGCTTCTGATGCACTTAAAAAAATTCTTACCATTAATTTTGCCTCTTTAGCAAGTTGCTTCTGTCTGAATTGTCTGAGTGGTTTGTCTGAATTAGGCAGTAGGTTCTTTGTGGCAGGACCTCCAAGAATAGCTGTATATTACTAAATGACAGGGGCTAAGCAAATACAATGATGTAACATTGGGAGGGGGCTGACTATGTTAATATAGTTCTTAAGCCACTGAGCATGCTCAGTATGAAGATGCTGTTTTTGGAAGCCTGACCAGACTCAGACTGAGCTGAATGCTCCAGCAACTAATAACAAGGCTGTGCTTTTCCTATAGACAAACCTGTGTCCTTCTTTGTCGATATACGTCATTGTTTGATATTTCCAGATCCCAGGCAATTATAATTGCAATCTTTACCCAAACACAGCTAAAGTACCTTATAAATAAGGCTAAGATTTTGTCAAGGATATTTTTAGTAAAACTCACGGACAGGTCATGGGCAAAAAAGAAAAATTCACAGAAGACATGACCTGTCTGTGACTTTTACTAAAAATATCTGTGACAAAATGGGGATCTGCAGGTCCCCACACCACCTGAAGGGGGGCAACAGCACAGGGGCTGGGACCCACATGCAGCAGCTGGGGGCTGCGGGGTATCTCCACTGCCTGCAGCTCCAGGGGCAATGGCAGCTGGGAGATCGCGGGTTCCCACACTGCCTGCGGTGGCTGGGAGCTGTGGGGTGTCCCTGCTGCACGCTGGGGCTGGGAGCTGCAGGGTACCCCTGCCACCTGCAGCTCCAGGAGCCTGCGGTCGCCGGGAGCTTTGGGTTTCCCCACCACTGCCGCTCTTAGTGGCTGGGAGCCCGGGGGGTTCCCCACCGCTCGTGATGGGCTGGGATCTTGGGGGTTCCCCCAGGAGCTGCAGGGTACCCCGCTGCATGCGGTGGTGTGGAGCTCTGGGGGCTGCCAGAGGCAGCGGGGGTACCCTGTAGCTCCCTGCCCCCACGGGTAGTGGGAGACCCTGCAGCTCCTGACCACCACAGGGTGAAGTCACGCAGGTCACTGGAAGTCACAGACCTCCATGACTAAATCGTAGCCTTACTTATAAACCCTTATGGCCAATGAATCAGTGGATTTATTGCTGAATTCCACCAGTAATAGAAGAAGGGCCACATTATGGGGTTTACAGCCCCCACACTAAACTAGAGCAAGGCATGGAGCAGGACTGGGACAGGAAGGCCCCTCAACAGGTAAAGGGTATGCTCCAGGTGGAGAGACGGTTTTAAAAGGGCACCGGTAGCTCAGTGAGAGGAGGGGAGGACTAACAGGCAGAACCAGGAAGTGAGGTTGACACCTGGAGCTGTGGGAAGAGTGACTGCAGCCTGCTCTCACTCCAGGAGCAGTGGTCCATATTTTCCCACCCCTTTTTGGAGCTGAGAATCCACAAGAGATCCCGAAGAACGGGATGTTGACCCCTTCCAGACAAAGCAGATACTACTGACTGGGACCATGCCCAAACAAAGGAGCCACAGCCCAGTAGGAAGTGACCTGGACAGGGGGCACATAACTTGGGGTGGACCAACAAGTAGTCCAGACACTGTAACACCCCTGTAGCACCTTGGGTTGGGACCTGGTGCAGTGGGAGAGCCTGGGTCCTCCTCTCCTGCTCCCCATCATCATTACAAAACCCCAAGTGAGGGAACGGGGGACACACAGAGACTGAGGCCTTCTCTATGCACCCATCAGGGCCCCCTCCAGGGCAGGCAGACTGAAGAAAACTGTAAAGCCACTGTCTGACCAAAATTGGCGGAGAATGCAGGCATATGTCCTTGGGCCTGAAGGGAGCCTGAGACATTAAAACAAAAACTGAAGTGGGTTGTAGGGATGGATCTTGACAAATTGCTATAATGTGTTGTGGAGAATCAACATCAACAACAACTACCGACCCAGTATTGGAACACCCGGCAATGCAACAATAGCAGCAGGCTATGTAGCAACAACAGCAGCAGCAGCTCATTAGGGAGTTGGCAACACAACATGGCTTCTAACCCACCAGTGGGAGTGGCGAACAACAGCCTAACTCCAATCCTCCCTCTGAAACTGACAACAATGGAACCAGACGATAAACCCAAAGCATTCCTAGTAATGTTCAAGAGGGTCGCCATGGCAGCCTATTGGCTGGTGGAGAGCTGAGTGGTCCTGATTGCCTCATACCTGAAAGGGGTGGCCCAGGCCGATACTGAAGCCTTGATGCGATGGCTGCGCAGGACTATTCCCCACTCAAGGCAGCCATCTTAGATGCTTTTGTCATCTCAGAGGAGACCCAATGCAGAGGGTACGGCAGGAGAGATTTTTGGCCAGAGCCTGACCCAGGACAGTAACCCAGACTTTAAAGGAACATTGCTGGTGGTGGTTCCAGCCCTAGGAAATAACAGGAGTACAGGTGGTGGAAAGGTTCATGTTGGAGAAGAGTCAACAAAGTTCTCCCCCTGGAATACGGGACTGGGTGGTCCGATACCAACCAGAGACACTGTAAGAAGCAGTGACACTGACTAAGAATTACGTGCTGTCTGCTGGGCCTATCCAAGAAACACCAAGGAGGGACATGGGCCAATCACAGCCAAATCAGATGACCAGAGGAAGAGTGAGGAGAGGAGGTACAAGAGAAATCTGGCTTCCCAATCCAAGGAGGGATGGCCAAGTGAGCAGAGACTGCCCTCGGGGGTTGAGCCCCACAGAGAGATGAGACAGGAGGGAGGTCCAAGTCCAGCGAGAGGCTCCTCCATGGAAACACCACTGAATTTGGGAGCACAAGCAGGTAAGGCCCCTTTACTGGCTGGCGTCATGTGTGGGCAACCAGGCCACTTCCGATGGGATTGCCCATACGTGGACTGCAGCTATGGTCAGGTCTGGAGGATGGAACCCAGAACTCAGAAGAAGGGACTGGAAAAAACTAGTGGTCCCAGTGCAGATTAAAGGGGTCAGAATGCAAGGCTTAATAGCGTCACGGTGTAGTCAAACAGAGGTCAGAGAATACCTGCCAGGGGTTGAGGATGGGCCGTTGGGTACCATATTTCTACAATATGTCCATGGGGATGTGCACCTCGTACCCTATGAGATAGGTAGAGTTACCAATGTGGAACCATGATTACATGGCCTGCGTGGGGGTGGCCACCAACCTAGCCTACCCTGTGACAATTGGGCAGGACTGGAAGTTCTTTTGAGAATGGATAGAGGAGGGGCAAGGGAAAGCTCTGGAGGGAAAAAGAGGGGAATCTGTGGACTTGATAGCAGGAGACCCTCAGGGAATGGTTGGCTGAGGGAGGATAATGAGTGTGGGAAGGAACATCCACATCCCCTGTTAATGGTCCTACTCCTACTGACACCCCATGAGGACTTGAGCCAAGGATCCACATACCCCCCTCCCCCAACATCGACCTGCTTTTGAGCCAAGTTGACTTGACTGAAGAAAAACAAAGTGATTTGATGCTGAGCCAAACCTACAAGCAGCTCACTCGGGTCAACGATGAAGTAAAGGACCCGCTACAACCAAAACTATGGCCACACTTTGAATTGTAAGGGGAAAAAGTACACCGAGCAGTGACAGACCCTCAGACTGGGGAGGTCCGGATGCACCTAGTTTACTAGAAGTCAAAGCCTTAGGAACTTCTGTCTACCACCCACAGACCGATGGCTTAAACCCTTGAAGGGGATTGTGAGCGGGGGCAGGGTCTCCCATCTAGTGGTTAGCACTCAAGGTGGCAGTCACTCTTGATGGGTGAGTCCTTGGGCAGCAACTCCGCCTGATGGGTATGGTTCATGGGTGGGGTAGAGGCACCTGGGCCTTGCCACTCCACCGGGTTCTGACTCAGGGAGGTTGATTTGGCTGCTCACTTGGTGGCATCTTGCATCATTCTCAAGTCAGCTTCCCTGGGTCATTTCCTCTTTCTGCATCCCAGCCAGCTGATGTCCATCCCTGGGGAGCACTACCTTCCAGGCTTCCAGCCCTGGTCCCAGTCTCCAGGCCAGGGCTCCCTGTTCCCTGGCTTGGTGTGAGGGTCACGTCCTTCCCTGGAGCTCCCAAAGCACCTCCTTCTCCCTGGCTGACTGACTCTGACTGAGTCTGTGTGGCTGCCTTTTAAAACCTTCCTCCAACCCAAGCATGCTACATAGGGGTGAAGGGGTGAGGCCTCCTTAGCCTAGAGTTACTCCTTAACCCTCTCCTGTCCACTGAGGGGTTTATACACCCCGTCACAGAGATGTTAAAAAAGTTTGTGACCGTTGTCCTTCATTACTAGGACCAGCTCAAGCCTCCCCTGAGGTTTGCTTTCCAGGAAGTTCCACAAGTCTCTATGGGATTCTTCACATTTGAGTTATTGTATGGAAGACAGCCCCAAGGGATATTAGACCTGATGTGCTAAACATGGGAGGGAAAAGATTCAAGAACCTCCAACTTGTTGCAGTACGTGCTCACAAAACTGGGTGATTGGGCAACAAAATGGCGGATGAAATTCCATGTTGATAAATGCAAAGTAATGCACAGTGGAAAACATAATCCCAACTCTACATACAAAATGATGGAGTCTAAATTAACTGTAGAAAGAGATCTGGAGTCATTGTGGATAGTTCTCTGAAAACATCTGCTCAATATGCAGCAGCAGTCAAAAAAGCTAACAGAATGTTAGGAGCCGTTAGGAAAGGGATTGATAAGACAGTAAATATCATAATGTATGTATATAAACCCATGGCATCCCAACACCTTGAATACTGCATGCAGTTCTGGTTACCCCATCTCAAAAAAGATACATTAGAATTGGAAAAGGTACAGAGAAGGGCAACAAAAATGATTAAGTGTATGGAATAGCTTCTGTATGAGGAGAGATTAAAAGACTGAGACCATTCATCTTGGAAAGAGATGACGAAGGGGGGGATGTGATAGAGGTCTATAAAATCATGAGTGGTGTGGAGAAAGTGAATAAGGAAGTGATATTTAGTCTTTCACATAACACAAGAACCAGGAGTCACCCAATGAAATTAATAGACAGCAGGCTTAAAACAAACAAAAGGAAGCACTTATTCACACAACACACAGTCAACCTGTGGAATGCATTGAAGATGTGAAAGCCAAAAGTATTATGGAGTGCAAAAAAGAACTAGTTACATTCATGGAGCAACCCAATGCTCTGAGTGTCCCTCGCTTCTGATTGCCAGAAGCTGGGACTGGACAACAGGGGATGGATGACTCGATTGCCTGTTCTGTTCATTCCCTCTGAAGCACTTGGCATTGGCCATTGTCTGAAGTAAGGATACGAGGCTAGATGGACCACTGGTCTACCCACTATGGCCCTTCTTATGTCCTTATGTTCTTAAATGTACCAACTCTCTTATTATCTAAAACCTGCCATCAACTTTCACCCAAAACTCCAATTGATTTCTACTGGCGTTCCCTGCATGGATCAGTGGCAGGGTTTGGTGCTACATTTTAGCTCTGGACTCTATCAATGAAACTTTCCTAATTACGGCTTTTTTGATCTAAAGAGATGTCCCCCTGTTGGGAATTGTGTAGTACATGCAACTTCTGCTGAAGTCAGTGGAGGTTGAAGATGCCCATTGACTTCAATGAGAGCAGAGTTAGGCCAATACTGAGCCGAGGATAGACCAAAATCCTATCTTAAATGGCATTCCTGACCAGTGTTAGGAGTTAATGTACATCATGGGATGCCAGATGATGCTCTTTTCTGCTGACAGATACATATCAAACAGTTCCCATCCTGCCATACCTAGATCCCCCATCTAGAAATACAAACACTATGTGTGTGGGGGTGAATGCCCAGGGGGTCACAGACAGATCAAAAGGGTTCATTCACAAACGTGCAGAACATGGACCCTGACCCCTAAGCTCGACCCCAGAATGCCAATCTCAGATGCCTACTGCAGAGCACCTTGCGATGGCTTTGGGAATGGTGATCAGGGGAGACATTCAGGGCACCTATGGGCAGCTAGTATCCATCCATAATATATGGTCTGTGATTGCTTCCAAAATAAGCTGCATCCCCTCCCCCAACCCACCCACTCCCCAAACACTTCCCCCCAAAACTTGAACTTTTTTTGCAGCATGCCTGGAAGAGACTTTTATCTTTTGGGTTAAAGATTATCTAGAACTGGTGATACAGAAATGACATGTACACTACCAGGAACTCCTGGTGCTCGACAAACACTGTCAGAAGGAAACTGAATTCAGCCCTTAAGGAAGGCTGAGTCAGGAGGAAGGTAATTGTGATAGGTCCCCTCACTCCTTCGGGGTGCCACTTGGAACTGGGGTACCCACTGAGCCCGCCTGACCCACCAGCCTGGGATCCCTTTAACTGTACTGCTGTGACAAGCTGCAGACACGCTCCTGGTCTCACAGTTTCATCAGCTCACATACAGGTAGGGACATACCCAGCTGTTGTAACATGCAAACAGGCTTTCTGACTAGCCTCTGCATGGGAAGGCTTCAGCTAAGGAACTGCTCAGATACTCAAGTGCACACCCCCCTCTGGAGGGCAAACCTAAAATTGTACTGTCTTGCGCTGCACAGAGAACTGTACAGGGTAAGCTCATGAAATTCACCCCCTCCCTCAATGTGGAGAGGAATATACACAGCTTTCTGCCCCAGTTATAATTTATACACACACTGGTTTTAGACAAAACAAAAGCAAGTTTATTAACTACAAAAGATAGATCTTAAGTATTATAAAGAATAGCAAACAGATCAAAGCAGATTACCCAGCAAATAAAACAAACACGCAATCTAAGATTAAGATAATAAAGAAACTGGCTACAAGTAGAAATTTCTCACCCTAAATGTTGTTTTAGGCAGATTGCAGAGGTTCTTGAAGGCCAGTTGCACTTGCCTGCAGCTTAAAACTTCAAATATTTCATTCACAGGCTAGACAACCTTCCAGCATGGGCTCAGTCCTTCTCCCCTCGTTCAGTCTTTGTTTCTTAGGTGTTAACAGCAGTCATCGTGGGTGGGGATTCAATGAAGAACCAACCTGATTTTGTCACTCCCCTGCCTTAAATAGGCTTTATATATGGTGGGAATCTGTTGTCTTCCAGTATGATTCCCACCCTCGGCCAGTGGAAAAATACTAATATTATCATGGTGTCCAGTATCAGGTGACTCGATCACATGACCCTACAGCTATAACTCAGAGTCTGTTTGCAGCATCCCTAGGAAGGCTTTCCCGGTGAAAGATTAGCATCTTCTAAAACCTATTGTTCTTCCTAATGGCCCTTCCAGCCAGCAATCTAGGCCTTGTGTTCACTGCCACTTTACAGCGCTGGTAGCTACTCCCCTCGTGGGGGTGGGTTTTTTAAGGTGCTGCGTTGGTGCCGTGACTACACAGCCATGTTAAAGCGCTGCCATGGCTTGCTAGTGAAGACATACCCCTAGACTTATTGCATTCTGTCCAGTGGGCGGTCCCCAGGTGTAAACACATTTGTAATAGCTGTACATACAGTATTCCTAACTTCAGATACAAAAAGGATACATGTATACAAATAGAATAATCATATTCAGTAAATCATAACCTTTCCACTGATATCTCACATGACCCATCTTGAATAAAATACATCATAATTATGTCATACTCATACCATAATAATATCTCTATGAAGAATATGTCACAGTAACAATTGGAGCATTTGGTCTCAGCAGGGTTCTCAACCTTTTCCATACTAGGTTGTCCTTGCCATTTAGCAATATGGGAAGGGCCAGATGGTCATCCCCCCCGGCCTCCTAGATTGAAAACCCCTGGTCTAAGGCAAGAGAGCAGTCTAAAAAGTGCACCAAGGAAGGGGGCATAAGCCAGTGTGGACATGGGGAAAATTAAAGCCCTTTAGGTATGCCCACTAGGCTGTCCTTTTTGCCCTTCTGCAGCACCTTCTTTCTCCAGACCCATATACAGCTGCCACCATCTCTCCTTTCTGTCTACTTGCTCTCCTGTCTCCTCTTGTTTTTTCTTGTTGTCTTTTCTTTTGTGGATTTCTCTCCCTTTCTATTTGTGGCTCTACTTGTTTTTTGTCCTCCTGCTCCCCTACCACATTCCCCCATTCACTAGGATACATGTTGCTCTTGATGGGAACAACCAGGGGTATCCCCTGCATGACTGAGCTGAATATCACAGAAAAAGAGACGCTTGAGTGGGCAGGACACTGTGTGAGCCTATAACCATGTACTTGTCAGCGGCTTCCCTGGATGGCTACTCTAGTGGCCAAGGCATGACCAGGGAGAAAAGGCAGGTGGCGTTCAGATGCCTGCCTCTGCTTTCCCCACAACAGACGCGTGTTTGAAGGGGACAGCACTACAGTGGATCTGGGGCTCATGCAGTATTCCATGGCTGCTCCTCAGGGAAGCTCTGCTCCGTGCCCACACTTACTTAGCCCACCACAACTTTGGGGTGGGAGTACCACTGTCTGTGTAGGGAAACAGTGATATAAGCCCCAGTGCTAGGGATAGCTAAAGGAGAGTGAGCTTGCCCTTCAAAGTCGGTAGGTCCAGAGTTCTGTTCCTCCTGCAGCATATATGCCATATAATCAGTGGCCTCTGCTTGTGGTCACCAGTCCACTCTGCCAGCTTCTGTTTACAGAGACAAGGGGGTGAGATAATATCTTTTATTGGACCAACTTCTGTTAGTGAGAGAGACAAGCTTTCAAGCTACACAGAGCTCTTCTTCAGGTCTGGGAAAAGTGCTTACAGATACGTAGAGTATCTGATAAATTCATGGACTAGATAAACTAGAACTAGATAAATTCATGGAGGATAGGTCCATCAATGGCTATTAGCCAAGATGGACAGGGATGGTGTCCCTAGCCTCTGTTTGCCAGAAGCTGGGAATGAGCGACAGGGGATGGATCACTTGATGATTACCTGCTCTGTTCATTCCTTCTGAAGCACCTGGCACTGGCCACTGTCGGAAGACAGGACACTGGGCTAGATGGACCTTTGGTGTGACCCAGTAGGACCATTCTTATGTATGTTCTACAGTGTCACAGTTAAATACAATATCAAACAGATAGGTTAGCATTAGCATGTGTCTGTAAGGGACCATTCAAGGTGAAGTGGCCCATGAACACCCCTGTAGTCACAGGGCAAAAAGGGGGGTTAGACGGTTACAGATGTTGTACTCAGCCACAAACCCAGCATCTTTATTAAGACCATGATTTTTAGTAAAAAGAAAAGGAGTACCTGTGGCACCTTAGAGACTAACCAATTTATTTGAGCATACATCCGATGAAGTGAGCTGTAGCTCACGAAAGCTTATGCTCAAATAAATTGGTTAGTCTCTAAGGTGCCACAAGTACTCCTTTTCTTTTTGCGAATACAGACTAACACGGCTGCTACTCTGAAACCTATGATTTTTAGTATCTAGCAAAGTTATTAATTTAAACTGCCAGGCTTGTCTTTTGAAAGTGTTGTGCAGGTTTCCTTTAGGGATGAGGACTGATAGATCAGATATAAACAGAACGATTGCTCTGTGAAAAGTGTTTACCCACAGGCGAGAGGGTTTTTTTTGTCTTTTATCATTTTCCTGTGTGAGTTCATTCATGAGCGTAGTTATGGTCTGGTTTCCCCCACATAGTCGTTAGTGGGGCATTTAGGGTATGTCTGCCCAGCAACTAGACACCTGTGGCTGGCCTGGGCCAGCTGACAGGCTCAAGGGGTTCAGGCTGCGGGACTGTTTCATTGCTGTGTAGACTTCCAGGCATGGGCTGGAGACTGAGCCCTGTGACCCTCCCACCTTGCAGGGTGCTAGAACCTGGGCTCCAGCCCAAGCCCAGAAAGCTATACAGCAATGAAGGAGCCCCACAGCCTGAGCCCATGTCAGCTTGCAAAGGCCAGCCACAGGTTTCTAATCATCGGTGCCAACTTCCTCTCTACCTGGGGGGTGCTTGACCTCCTCCCCCGACCCAGGCCCACCCCCACTCCACCCCTTCCTCCAAGCCCTCACCCCACCCCGCGTCCTCCCACCCCTGCTTCGCCCCAGGCCCACTCCACCCCTTTCCCCAAACCCCCGCCCCAGCCCTGCCTCCACCCCCAGGAGGCGCTGGGAGGGAAGGGGAGGAGTTGATCTGTGGGGCCGCCGGCAGGCGGGAGGCACTGGGGGCAGGGGCGGAGCTTGGCTGCCAGTGCATGCTAAGCACTGCTAATTTTTTTCCATGGGTGCTCCAGCCCTGGAGCATCCACAGAGTTGGTGCCTATGTGTCTAGTTGCTGTGTAGACATACCCTATGTGCATTGTATGAGGTACACCACATTATGATAGGCATGGGTAGGACTCCTGGATCTTGAAAGGTGGTATTGTGAGGGTGTTGATCATTATAGCAGTGAAGATATGTTTGTAGGTTTTGCATCTGTTGTTCTGGCATCTGGTGCCTCCTTGAGTTGATATGTCCTGGCCTGTGGGAAGTTGGCTTCTGATGATGAGCTTGGAGAGGTTGCAGGGTTGGAGAGGTTGTCTGAAGGCCAGAAGAGGGGGTTTAGGAAAGATTTCTTTCAGGATCAGTTCCCCATTGAATATGTTGAAGCTGTCTGATGATACCCCATATGGGTTCCAGTGTAGGGTGGAAGGTGACAGCTAGGGGTGTGTAGTTAGAGGAGGTTTTATTTCTGAATTGAAGCAGGTTTTCTCAGGGTAGTTGGGTGGCCTGTTCCACGATGCTATCTATTTCTCTGGTGCAATGTCCTTGTTTGGTAAAGGTGTTTTGAGTGTGTTAAGGTTTGTATCCTGGACTTTCTTCAGAGCATATTCTGTGGTATCTGAGTGCCTGGATGTAGATAACAGATTTCTGTGTGTGTTTGAGGTGGTTTCTGAATCTATGAAGCTAGGGATGGTGATCCAAGGGTTTCTTGTATGTAGCTGTCTGTAGGCATAGGCGCTGACTCCATGGATGCTCCGGGGCTGGAGCACCCATGGGGAAAAATTAGTGGGTGCTCTGCACCTACCGGTAGCCAAGCTCCCCTCCCGCCCCACCTCACCTCCTCCTCTGGCTCCTCCCCTGAGCGCGCCGCGTCCCCGCTCCTCCGCCTACCTCCCAGCGCTTGCCGCCACCAAACAGCTGTAGCAAGCTCTGGGAGGGAGTGGGGAGGAGCTGGAATGTGGCACGCTCAGGGGAGGAGGCGGGAAAGAGGTGGGGCTGGGGCAGGGATTTGGGGAAGGAGTCGAATAGGGGCAGGGAGGGGGCAGAGTTGGGGCAGGGACTTTGGGGAAGGGGTTGGAATGGAGGTGGGAGGGGGCAGGGGTGGAGTCCCAGCAGGGCTGGGGTCTGGGGGGGGGTTGAGCACTCACTGGCGCCATTAGAAGTCGGCGCCTGAGTCTGTAGGGTTCCATTGTTGAAGGTGATTGTGGTGTCCAGGAAGCTGATGCTAGTGTGGGACTGTTCCAGGGAGAGTTTAGGATGGGTGATGGTTGTTGACATTGTGTGGGAAATCAATGAGGAAGTTTAAGTTGTCTATCCAGAGGATGAAAATATCATTGATGTATCTGAAGTATATCATTGATTTAGTGGTGCATTTGTCCAGAAAATTATTCTTCAAAGTGGCCCATGAAGAGGTTGGCATACTGGGGAGCCATCCTAGTACCCATCCAACAACAAATACTTTCTCCAAATCATGAGAACAGCCCTGGGTACGAGGATGGCTCCCCAAGAAACACTTGCCTTACCACATCTACCTTCATAGATACTTCTGATACTTTTCTCTCTTCCTCTGTCCTAAGTTCCAGGCACCCTTTGCCCCTCTCTCCCAGTCTCCTGCCCCTTTACACCAGGTTTCCAGCTGTTATCTCCTTCTCTTCAACCGTACAGTTAATATATTTATGGAGGAATCAGGATTTGAGCTGCTCTTGCCAATTTAAATACTTTGCTGCCACCTAGTGCTGAGTTAATATTATTAAACACCCAATCTGGTAGATAAAAGTGTATATTAACTTTAAAATGTGGAGGTCTTCTTTGGTGGACTCAGTCATGATTGATTTATGAATAAAGATTAAAAGCTGTATATATGGATAATTAGCTGTTGGACCACTGAGGAGCTGAAGGTAGCAATATGACTGCATGCAAGAATCTGAAGGCTGTAGATACCTAAGATAGAGAGGAATTGTTTAGCATAGTAAAAGGGGTTTGCCTCTTTCTTGTTGTATAGCTGATAGCACATGAGGACCCAATTTCAGTTGAGGCTCCATAGCTCAGTGGTTTGAGCATTGGCCTGCTAAACCCAGAGTTGTAAGTTCCATCCTTGAGGGGGCCATTTAGGGATCTGGGCCAAAAATTGGGGAATGGTCCTGCTTTGAGCAGGGGGTTGGACTAGATGACCTCCTGAGGTCCCTTCCAGCCCTGATATTCTATGATTCTATGTTACAATAAATAGTAACAATAATAATAAGTAATTAGACAGACTGGAAAGAATTTAAGATAGGGAAATTTTAAACTCAATATCAGGAACCAATAGGTATTAATGGTGAGATCTAGATTGTGCAATATTCTCCCAGGTGAAATGGTGGAAACCTCATTGCATGAGTTAGTCAGAATGCACTTGAATAAAACCCTGGCAAATCGACTGTAAAGAACATCCCTGCACTGACCACCAGGCATTAGATGGCACCTAATATGTCTTTTTCATCTCCAGCATCTCTGCATCTGTTGTGTAACTGTAAACCTGCCATGGGCCTAATCCTGCACCCACTGAAGTCAGTTATAATAAATCCAGGTGCTGCTTCAGACGCAATCAGAACCACCTGCCTCTTTGTGGGGAGAGAGACCAGCTTTCCCTGGAAATCAGAAGGCGCAAGTGGTGCAGCAGTGGCAGACAACTTAGCCCTGGTCTACACTAGGACTTTAGGTCGAATTTAGCAGCGTTAAGTCGATGTAAACCTGCACCCGTCCACACGATGAAGCCCTTTATTTCAACTTAAAGGGCTCTTAAAATCGATTTCCTTACTCCACCCCTGACAAGTGGATTAGCGCTTAAATCGGCCTTGCCGGCTCGAATTTGGGGTACTGTGGATGCAATTCGACGGTATTGGCCTCCGGGAGCTATCCCAGAGTGCTCCATTGTGACCGCTCTGGACAGCACTCTCAACTCAGATGCACTGGCCAGGTAGACAGGAAAAGAACCGCGAACTTTTGAATCTCATTTCCTGTTTGGCTAGCGTGGCAAGCTGCAGGTGACCATGCAGAGCTCATCAGCAGAGGTGACCATGATGGAGTCCCAGAATCGCAAAAGAGCTCCAGCATGGACCGAACGGGAGGTACGGGATCTGATCGCTGTATGGGGAGAGGAATCCGTGCTATCAGAACTCCGTTCCAGTTTTCGAAATGCCAAAACCTTTGTCAAAATCTCCCAGGGCATGAAGGACAGAGGCCATAACAGGGACCCGAAGCAGTGCCTCGTGAAACTTAAGGAGCTGAGGCAAGCCTACCAGAAAACCAGAGAGGCGAATGGCCTCTCCGGGTCAGAGCCCCAAACATGCCGCTTCTATGATGAGCTGCATGCCATTTTAGGGGATTCAGCCACCACTACCCTAGCCGTGTTGTTTGACTCCTTCAATGGAGATGGAGGCAACACGGAAGTAGGTTTTGGGGACGAAGAAGATGATGATGATGAGGAGGAGGTTGTAGCTAGCTCACAGCAAGCAAGCGGAGAAACCGGTTTTCCCGACAGCCAGGAACTGTTTCCCACCCTGGACCTGGAGCCAGTACCCCCCGAACCCACCCAAAGCTGCCTCCTGGACCCGGCAGGTGGAGAAGGGACCTCCAGTGAGTGTACCTTTTAAAATACTATACATGGTTTAAAAGCAAGCATGTGAAAGGATTAATTTGCCCTGGCATTCACGGCTCTCCTGGATGTACTCCCAAAGCCTTTGCAAAAGGTTTCTGGGGAGGGCAGCCTTATTGCGTCCTCCATGGTAGGACACTTTACCACTCCAGGCCAGTAACACGTACTCAGGAATCATTGTACAACAAAGCATTGCAGTGTATGTTTGCTGGCGTTCAAACAACATCCGTTCTTTATCTCTCTGTGTTATCCTCAGGAGAGTGAGATATCATTCACAGTCACCTGGTTGAAATAGGTGCTTTTCTTCAGGGGACACTCAGAGGTGCCCGTTCCTCCTGGGCTGTTTGCCTGTGGCTGAACAGAAATGTTCCCCGTTGTTAACCACGGGGAGGGGGGAGGGTTGAGGAGGTAGCCACGTGGTGGGGGGAGGCAAAATGCTACCTTGTAACAAAAGCACATGTGCTATGTATGTAATGTTAACAGCAAGGTTTACCCTGAAAGAGTGTAGCCACTGTTTTATAAAATGTGTCTTTTTAAATACCGCTGTCCCTTTTTTTTTCTCCACCAGCTGCATGTGTTTCAATGATCACAGGATCTTCTCCTTCCCAGAGGCTAGTGAAAATTAGAAAGAAAAAAAAACGCACTCATGATGAAATGTTCTCTGAGCTCATGTTGTCCTCCCACACTGACAGAGCACAGACGAATGCGTGGAGGCAAATAATGTCAGAGTGCAGGAAAGCACAAAATGACCAGGAGGAGAGGTGGCGGGCTGAAGAGAGTAAGTGGCGGGCTGAAGACAGGGCTGAAGCTCAAATGTGGTGGCAGCGTGATGAGAGGAGGCAGGATTCAATGCTGAGGCTGCTGGAGGATCAAACCAGTATGCTCCAGTGTATGGCTGAGCTGCAGCAAAGGCAGCTGGAGCACAGACTGCCACTGCAGCCCCTCTGTAACCAACCGCCCTCCTCCCCAAGTTCCATAGCCTCCACACCCAGACGCCCAAGAACGCGGTGGGGGGGCCTCCGGCCAACCAGCCACTCCACCACAGAGGATTGCCCCAAAAAAAGAAGGCTGGCATTCAATAAATTTTAAAGTTGTAAACTTTTTAAAGTGCTGTGTGGCATTTTCCTTCCCTCCTCCACCACCCCTCCTGGGCTACCTTGGTAGTCACCCCCCTATTTGTGTGATGAATGAATAAAGAATGCATGAATGTGAAGCAACAATGACTTTATTGCCTCTGCAAGCGGTGATCGAAGGGAGGAGGGGAGGGTGGTTAGCTTACAGGGAAGTAGAGTGAACCAAGGGGCGGGGGGTTTCATCAAGGAGAAACAAACAGAACTTTCACACCGTAGCCTGGCCAGTCATGAAACTGGTTTTCAAAGCTTCTCTGATGCGGACCGCGCCCTCCTGTGCTCTTCTAACCGCCCTGGTGTCTGGCTGCAGGTAACCAGCAGCCAGGCGATTTGCCTCAACCTCCCACCCCGCCATAAACGTCTCCCCCTCACTCTCACAGATACTGTGGAGCACACAGCAAGCAGTAATAACAGTGGGAATGGTTTTGCTGAGGTCTAAGCGAGTCAGTAAACTGCGCCAGCGCGCCTTTAAACGTCCAAATGCACATTCTACCACCATTCTGCACTTGCTCAGCCTGTAGTTGAACAGCTCCTGACTACTGTCCAGGCTGCCTGTGTACGGCTTCATGAGCCATGGCATTAAGGGGTAGGCTGGGTCCCCAAGGATACATACAGGCATTTCAACATCCCCAACAGTTATTTTCTGGTCTGGGAATAAAGTCCCTTCCTGTAGCTTTTGAAACAGACCAGAGTTCCTGAAGATGCGAGCGTCATGTACCTTTCCCGGCCATCCCACGTTGATGTTGGTGAAACGTCCCTTGTGATCCACCAGAGCTTGCAGCACTATTGAAAAGTACCCCTTGCGGGTTATGTACTCGCCAGCTTGGTGCTCCAGTGACAAGATAAGGATATGGGTTCCGTCTATGGCCCCACCACAGTTAGGGAATCCTATTGCAGCAAAGCCATCCACTATGACCTGCACATTTCCCAGGGTCACTACCCTTGATATCAGCAGATCTTTGATTGCGTGGGCTACTTGCATCACAGCAGCCCCCACAGTAGATTTGCCCACTCCAAATTGATTCCCAACTGACCAGTAGCTGTCTGGCGTTGCAAGCTTCCACAGGGCTATCGCCACTCACTTCTCAACTGTGAGGGCTGCTCTCATCTTGGTATTCATGCGCTTCAGGGCAGGGAAAGCAAGTCACAAAGTTCCATGAAAGTGCCCTTACACATGCGAAAGTTTCGCAGCCACTGGGAATCTTCCCAGACCTGCAACACTACGCGGTCCCACCAGTCTGTGCTTGTTTCCCGAGCCCAGAATCGGCATTCCACAGCATGAACCTGCCCCATTAGCACCATGATGCATGCATTGGCAGGGCCCATGCTTTCAGAGAAATCTGTGTCCATGTCCTGATCACTCACGTGACCGCGCTGACGTCGCCTACTCGCCCGGTATCGCTCTGCCAGGTTCTGGTGCTGCATATACTGCTGGATAATGCGTGTGGTGTTTAATGTGCTCCTAATTGCCAAAGTGAGCTGAGCGGCTTCCATGCTTGCCTTGGTATGGCGTCCGCACAGAAAAAAGGCGCGGAACGATTGTCTGCCGTTGCTCTGAAGGAGGGAGGGGCGACTGACGACATGGCTTACAGGGTTGGCTTACAGGGAATTAAAATCAACAAAGGGGGTGGCTTTACATCAATGAGTATTTCAGGCAGGACTTCATGGAAGGTTCCAATAAGAAATGGTGCACCTAAGTATTTGTTCTTATTGGAACAAGCAGGTTGGTCTGGCCTCTGATTGATACATGGCTAGTTTTACCTCGCTGCACCTTCTCTGTGAGTGACTGCAGTGTGACCTAGAGGAATGAGTCCCCTAGACGGGGGAAGAGGGGGAAGCAAATGAGTACAAAACAAATCTGGTCTATTTCTTGTTTTGATCCACTCCATCTATCTTTTACATCTTTGGCTGGCAGCAGACGGTGCAGAAGGGCTGCATGCCATCCACATCTCATGGTGCTTGGCAGAAGATGGTGCAGTAGGACTGCTAGCCATCCTCATCTTTTGCCTGCCTGGCAGAAGGTGGTACAGTAGGACTGCTAGCAATCCGTATTGCCTGCCTGCTCACCATAAGATGGTTCAATAGGACTGACTGCAGGACTAAAGAGAATGACCTGATCAAGTCACTCCAAAATTAGTCCCTGTGCCCATGTCTGCCCAGGCGCTCCTGGCCGACGTGGCTAGGAGCACCTCAGACATGACGATGACGGCTACCAGTCGTACTGTACCGTCTGCTGCCACAAGGCAATGGGTTGCTGCTGCTGTGTAGTAATGCAGTACCATGTCTGCCAGCACCCAGGAGCCATACGGTGACGGTTACCTGAGCGGGCTCCATGCTTGCCGTGGTATGGCGTCTGCACAGGTAACTCAGGAAAAAAGGGGCGAAATGATTGTCTGCCCTTGCTTTCACGGAGGGAGGGAGGGAATGGGGGCCTGATGATATGTACCCAGAACCACCCGCGACAATGTTTTAGCCCCATCAGGCATTGGAATCTCAACCCAGAATTCCAATGGGCAGCGGAGACTGCGGGAACTGTGGGATAGCTACCCACAGTGCAGCACTCCGGAAGTTGACGCTTGCCTCGGTACTGTGGAAGCGCTCCGCCGAGTTAATGCACTTAATGCACTTAGAGCATTTTCTGTGGGGACACACACTCTCGAATATATAAAACCGATTTCTAAAAAAATGACTTCTATAAATTCGACCTAATTTCGTAGTGTAGACGTACCCTTAGACGGGTACGGGGTCCAGACCAAAGAAGCTTCCTCTGACCCCAGTGGGTGATGCAGAGCCTGTATGTGCTCCCCAGTGTTATCAAACTTGTGGGGCAGCAGCCTCCCCACCAAAGAGTGTATTGTGAGAGGCTGGGGTCTCGAGGCTGGAGAATTTCCACTGAGATGCTGTAGTTTTTAGCTGCTCTCTATATTTTCGTTAAAATGTTCGAGACCCCTAGGGTTCTCAATTGTTGTGTGCTGGCGACCCCTTTCGCCCAGCACGCCTCTGAGTGTGACACCCCCTTATGAATTAGAAACACATTTTTTATATTTAACACTATTTTAAACGCTAAATGTATAACCCCATTGTTTAAAACGGATTTACCCTTTCTCACTGTTTTAAAATTAAGACTAAAACACATTTTTATTGAATTATTGTTATAAGCAGAAAAGCTAATTTTTAAAATAGGGGATGTGTGTGTGTGTGAGAGAGAGAGAGAGAGAGAAGAAACTTAGTCATAGAATATCAGGGTGGAAAGAGACCTCAGGAAGTCATCGAGTCCAACCCCCTGCTCAAAGCAGGACCAGTCCCCAACTAAATCATCCCAGCCAGGGCTTTGTCAAGCCTGACCTTAAAAACTTCTAAGGAAGGAGATTCCACCACCTCCCTAGTCAATGTCACTTTTCACAGCAGACTTCGCTCTCCACTACAAACCTTACTTCTGTGCTACTGCTGTATTTGTATGTTGGTTAATATCACTTTTCAGAGCAGACTTTCTAGTGCAGACTTCCAGCAGACTCGCTAGCTAGCTGGGAGGCTGTGAAAAGTGATATCTGTATGTTTGTTAATATCACTTTTCACAGCCCCCCAGCTCTGAAGGCAGTGGCCAGCAGCAGCTGACAAGTAAGGGTGGCAATGGGGGAAATGTGATATTAACAAATGTACAAATATCACTTTTCACAGCAGACTTAGTGCCCCATTGGCACCCTTACTTCTGTGCAGCTGCTGACAGCAGGCTCTGCCTTCAGAGCTGGGCAGCTGGAGGACGGCAGTACCTCTGAAGATATTGCCACCAGCAGCAGCACAGAACTGAAGAAGGGTGGCAATGCCATACCACGCCACCCTTCCTTCTACATAACATTTGACCTTTGCGCTGAGAGGGGCGGCTAAGGTAAACTTTGGGGTGACTACAGCCCTCCGCCCTGTCCCTGCCTGCATATCTGACTGTTAAATTATAAATTAGAGGGTTTTTGGCCGATCTCAGTGTTCTGATTAGTCTGCAATTTAATGCAGCTCTTCAGCTATTGAATAATCAAGCCCGCTAATGTTGTTTCAGTCCCAGAGTTGGCCTTGGGGAAAACGGTGCCCTGGGCAAACTTCTATTTTGGCAACCTTTCTTTGGAGGTGGAATGGAGTTGGGGGTGAAGCTAGTGTGGAGGGGCTCAGGCTGTCAGCTCTGCCTTTCATGGGAGCTGAAAGGTCACAACCCCCATGTAATAACCTTGCAACCCCTGAGGGTTGTAACCCCCAGTTCTAGAAGGGTGCTGTTGGGGATTCTATATTACATTTTCTAGCCCAGCTGGATCTTTGTTCTAGAAAATCCACCCTACCAGTTCTAGGTTAGATGATGTAGCCCAGCTGCTCTGTGTTCTAACTGGGATTTTCCAAAAGGGCTACATTAGGGGTTCTAGATTAGATGCTGTTGTACAGCTGCTGTGTTCTAGCTATGATGTTCTAGAAAGACTGCACTGTAGGCTCTAGATTAGATGCTTGCGGCCCCACCAGCCTGCGTGCAGCTGGGATGTTCTAGAAGGGCTGCAGTGTGGTTTCTAGATGAGATGCCCCCAGAAGCCCGTGTGCTAGAGGGGATGTTCTAGAAGGCCTGCACTGTGGGTTCTAGTTTAGGTGCTTGCCACCCCATCGGCCTGAGTACTAGTGAGGATGTTCTGGAAGGCCACACTGTGGGTTCTAGTTTAGATGTTTTCCGCCCCACCAGCTTGCGTTCTAGTGGGGTTATTCTGGAAGGCCTGCACTGTGGGTTGTCGATGAGATGCTGTAGCCCCCAGCTGCCTGCATGGTAGCGGCGATGTTCTGGAAGACCTGCACTGTGGGGTTCTAGACGAGATCCTGCAGCCCCCAGTGTGTTAGTGGGGATGTTCTAGGTGGGCCACACCATGCTTCTCCAGGAGAGCGATCAGCCATAACTAGAACGGCTGGTTTGCCTGTGTAAGGAGCCGGAGTGGCAGTAGCTGCTATGCATGCGCCTTAAGCCCGGCGTTGCTTTGCCATAGTGTGTTGAGAGGGAATTGCCTTTTACGACGGCGCAGTTGGAGATGGCATTGCTTTACGGCAGGAGCTGCTTGCCTCA